GGCTAACACTGGCCATGCTGCAGCTGCACCGTGCTGTCCCACTGGCCATGGCTAAAGGGTTGGCATTAACCTGCCTCTGAAACAGCTGGATTCAGAAGCAGACAGCACTGGCACCTGACACTTCATGGAGTTTGCCTGAAGTTTCAGTTGTGTCTTGAAGTCTCTGAGTAATCATTAATTCCCCTCAGACTTTGTTGGAAAATCCATTGGCCTTGTAGCAGAAACACTGCTTGGCACAAACCTGTCTGTCTCCACTGAGGTGTAGCCAGTGGCTGCCATTTTGGTCCTCAGTGGAGACACAGTTACCACAGAAAATCATTCTCCTCTTACAGGTTTCTTGGGAACAAAGATCTGTTTCAGGGCTGAGTTGTGGTTTAAAAGCAGCAGATCTGTTGTGCTGCCGTGGCCATCATGGTGTTGGGAAGAATGGCATTGCTGCAGTAAGGGAGTGCTCCTCAGTGCTGAGCTAACTTTGCCTGTTGTTTCCACAGGTTACCAAAGTGACCCAGGTAGATGGGAACAGCCCTGTAAGGTTTTCCACTGAAACCACCTTCCTGGTGGACAAGTACGAAATCCTGTAATGCTAGACGTGGTGACGCGCAATGGAAGAAATTTTTAAATTAAAAAAACATGAGGCCGACGTTTATTCTGAATGTTGGGAACGCCACAGCCCCCTCTGCTAAGACTTGTGGCTCTGTCTGCCATCTACAGTGTTCCTGGGTCACAGACATTTTTTGCAGAGAAGTGACGTGCTCATGGGGAGAAAGGCCACTAATTTCTTTGGCAGATTTTTACCGACTGGCAAAAAAGCGAGATCTCCGCAAAGAGCCTGACTTTGACATGCTGCCCTCCCTCCTCCCCCCGAGATGCTCGGAGCTCAGCCCAGAGCTGACCAGACATCATTCTCTTCTCTCCTGAAGCATCACGTGCTGTTCCGTTGTTGGTGCTGCCATTTTAATTTCTCCTTGGCCTCTGGTTCTCCTGTGTGGGGCCTCCTTCTGGTCCTGACCCTTCCATCTGGTGGAAGCTGAGCAAGCTGACCTTGGCCTCAGAGGTGTGGGGGTGGGTCATGGTGGGGGAATGGGGTGGGGAAGAGGGACCCCAGGGGTTCAGTCCTTTTGCTCCACACAGTTATTGCAGTTCCTCCAACTCTGCTGTGTGTGGCAGTGGCCCAGCTCCAGGTGGTCTGGTTCCTGCTGCAGCAGGGAGAGCATCCAAAGGGGGACTGTGTCCTCTCTGTCTTCCACAGCTGTTCTCAGGCCAGGCTTTGGAGGAAGTTTAGTTAGGTTAGAACCAGCTGTATATGCTTTGCAAGGCTGTTTTGGTGTCTAGGGAGGCTGAGGGCTTTTCCTGCCTGGGTGAAAGGAGCTGTGGAGCCTGGTTGACTTGGCGTGCATGTCTCAAACCAGTATTGGTTCAGCACTGGCAGGTGTGGGAGAAGGAAATGCTGGTTACCAGCTAGTGTGGGGGCTGATCTGAGCCATTTCTGCTACGACAGCCTCACTAGCATTATTTGCCTCATCTCAAGAGACCTGTGCTCCCCTCACAACTCATCTCACCTGCTTGGCTGGGGCCTGTCGTGAGTGTCACCTGCCCCTGGGTGCACACCTCACCTCTGCAGGTAAAGGGCCCAAGTGCAGGTGGAAGGCAATGGCCCTAAAAGTGTGTGTACTGTGCTCTGTGAGAGACAGCCAGCCTGTCATGGGCCCCTGGGGTCCTCTGCCAAAGAAGTTTGTGGTCTCTCCTCTGCTGGCAGCACCTGAGAGGAAATCAACCCTGGTCCTGTCCTGAGAGGGTAAGCGCTCTCCACTAGCAAAGTAGTCAATGAATCCCATTAACCCAGTCCTGTTCCAGAGCTGCTTGTCTGTATGATTTTTAAAATGGAGTCAAAGTTAGTTCAAGCATCCCAGGAGGTTGTTTTTTTTTCTTACATTCATTGGAGGGTGATACTTAAACCGAGCCGAGGTCCCCACTTTTTGTAACCCTGTATGATCCTGGCCTAGGGAATAGAGCACATTCCAGTGTACACAGAATTCTGAGTCTTTAATCAAATAAAGTACTGTTAAAGGAGCTGGCTGTGGGTCGTGAGGTCCTTCCGGAGCCGGTCAGCCCCGGCCAGGCGGGGGCGGGACGTGCTGACACCGCCTGGGGCGGGGACACGCCGAGGCACTCGGTGGTGGACAGAGGAGCAGCGGAGGAGCCCGGGAAGTGCTGTCGGACCGGGGTGGTGAAGGTGAGAGTCTCTAGAATGGGGTGGGACCGCTGGCATGGGGTAGGACCCCCCCACTTTGTGCCCAGACAACCAGTGCCGTTGGGAAGCCTGTGGGGCTGGGGCCGCGTCCTGTGACGCAGGGACTCTAGTGCTTCAGGGGCAGCTTTGGGATGTGGTGGGGGCAAGAGAAGGGGGCTTAGTTGCCTTGGCCCATGTCGGGGCCAGATGTGGGACGTGCTGGGGCTTCCTGGTCCCTGGGGTGCTCTGGGAGGGGTGCAAGGAAGGAGCTGCAGACAGGGAAGTAGGAAAAATATGATCAGCCATAAAACCCATCATTGCACAATGTTTTGGTGGTGTGTGGGTGGGCTGGGAGTTGGTTCCAGGATCCAGTGGTCCGGGTCAGTGATGGCTTTGCTCATGTGGTAGCCTTGAGAGTAACTTGGTGTTGGAAGGCAGCCAGACAAGGTTTTCCCATCCCCAAATCTTGAAGCTCATGAGCAGTCACAGGAGGACTGTGTTCTTTCTTGGCCCATGGCCACCACTGCTGTCTCTGACACCTCTTGGGGAGCCTGGGAACGGTACTGGCCTGGCTGGATTCTGCTCCATGGCTGGACCTTGTTTACTCCAACTTCCTGTCCCACTCCTGCCACAGCTCCTTCAGCTGCTGTCAGCCAGAGGAATCTGGCAGTCCCAGAATGTCCAGCTGCTGTGCTGAAGGGCCACTATCTCTCCCCCTCTTCCAGCTGCCCTGCAAGCCCTCAGCCCTCTCTGAGCACTAGGCAGCACTAGGCTGAGCACCATAGGCAGTAGCAAGGCAGCACAGCCAGGTACTTTTTGATAACTTCTCCTTGCCTTGTTGCACTTGCTGCTGTGTGATGCCGTAGGTTGGTACATGTGGGGCAGCAGGGGCAGGGTGCCATGCAGGGAGATGGAACTACAGGATTCCATGGCAAGGGATCCTTGCTGGCAGCCAGGAAGAGGAGAGTGATCAATGCCTGATTTGGAGATTCACCTACTGCTCTCCCAGCAAAGGGCTGGGTGATGGGTTCATGCCAGGGCTTAGATTCGAGACCCACCAAACCCATCCTGTGTCACAGTCCCCAAGCTGTTGTCAACGGGAGCTGCAGATAATCTTTGTTGAGCTGAACCTCTGGCCTGCAGGTGAGAAATTGTCATTTTGATACGAGAGCATTTTGAGGAGGAGCTCTCCATTGTGCAGTCTTGCAAGGGGTCTGGATCCTTGTGTCTGTGCTGTGGTGTCCAGAGGCACTTTCAGGTGCTGGGGTCAGTGCTTGAGCTGCAGCAGTGGTTGCGTCTATGTATGGCTCACCAGCCCTTGGTGCTGGGGTGGGTTGGGTGCAGTAGGAGTGGCTGCACACCCTCCCCGACCTGAGCACATGCTGAGCATCCATCGGTCTGTGGAGACCCCAAAGCGTGGTGCCGGCAGGGCCTCGGCCGGAGCACAGTTGTGGCTGCAGGGGTGCAGGAGCACTTTGCCGGAGGATGAAATCAGCGGGTGTGGCCAGGATTCCTCGGCTCCCGCTGGAGCTGTCTGGTGGCTGATTTATGATGGTGTTATTGCCAGGATCATGGTGTTGCCTCAGCAACCACAACGCAGCCCCCACCATCCCTCGCCTGGGTGGGATGGGGCTGGCTGGGTCTCCCCCATACAGTTGTTAGCCCCAGGCCGGGAGGCAGCAGCGAGGAGCAGTCTCCTCACTTGCCTCTGGCTTTGTGCAGGAGACAGGCTCCCCCTTCCCAGCGGCCCGGCGGAAGAGCCAGTTGTTTACCAGGGTAGAGGGTGTGGGAAGGAGTGAGCACACCCGAAGTGCATTAGCAGATGGGGAGCAAACAGGCAGCCAAGTTGGCTGGAGGCTGCGATGCTCCACTCTGTGTGCACCCGTTAGCTCGGCCACTCAGGCTTCCTTCCGTGACTCATCCAGCCAGCCACAAGTGGGGATGAGAGGCCGTGCGAGGGGTGCTATGCCCCCGCCTCTGCCATGCTCTTGCTTCGTCCCAGCAAGCCTGATACTGCATGGCATGGCCTGCCGGTCTGTGCTCCTTCACGAGCACGGGCTGAATACCCATGCCCCGACCATGTCCTGGCCAGCGGCACAGAATGCAGCTCTGGGGTCTGCTCATACCTGATGTGGGGTGAGTCAGAATGTGCTGTGCCCAGATTGGGTCTGGGTGGGCAACAGCCGGTCAGGCAGGAGTGGACCCGCAGAGCACCTCTGCCCGTACGGGCTTGGGTGATTATATGAATCACCCAATATGAATGAATTATGTGTGCATATATGTGAATACGCAGGCCGATTGCAGGCTGTGGGCAGTGCCACACAGGGGCTTCCCAGGAGCACGGTGGGGCAGCATGTCCGTGTGCAGCCTGAGCTGCGTTAGGAGGGCCCCTGCATCGGTGGGGCTGGGCATCTTCCCAGGTGAGGCTTTTGGCTGTGCCAGGTAAAGAAAGGGGCTTTTGTCTTCCAGGAAGCCAGGGCTGAGTAGGCAGCCCTGCGCGGGGTGCACGAGGACCGTGGGCTGTTCGGTGGTAACCGAGCCCGACCCCTTGGCATTTGCTGCCTTCACCGCTTCCCACGGCGGGAACAAGCGGCGCGTTCTGCAGGCGGCGGCGGGAGAAGAAAGGCCGCCTTGTCTGTCCGAGCAGTGGGGCGCCGGCTGGGGCGGCCACGCTCCCGCCCCGCATTCCTGCACTAGAGCCGGCTGGAGAGGGGCTGACGGCAGGCGTTCCCTGTGTGTTGATGAGACAGGTGAGGGGCTCTGTTTGAGGGCAGTGTTGCGGGACTGGGGACATTGGGAAGTGGTGGGATGCCAGGGTCACCCTCCAGGTCATGGGCAGGTAGGGCTGCTTGTGAAGTGGGGGGGTGTTGGGTGGATAGTTTGGGCAGAATCGGGGACAATCCCCCAGGTGGCCAGGATGGGGGTCCTCCATGGTTCTCACCAGGTCTCACCAGTACAGCCGTGCTGGGAAGGAGTGAGTTAACAGCGGCGCCAGATCCCACCCTGGCCCCGCTCCCTTCCTATAGAGCAGCCTGGCTTTTCCTTCTTCCTGCACATTGTGACAAGACGTAGGTGTAAGTGACGGGCAGGGGCTTGGCTGGGCTGCGGGGTCTCCAGACGCTGGGAAGTGTGTGGGGAACATGGGCACCCTGCCATGGAGGGTCCCGCTCGGCACCAGGACCAGGCGGCAGGTAAGAGAGAGCCGGGATCCTGCCTCAGCAGCTGGTGAGCACTCATGAACTGCTCTTGGGGTACCTTTTCTCTACATCCCACCCCCACCCTTGCCCCAGCTGAGCTGTCCCCATCAGTGTTGTGGCTGTGGTCCCCATGGAGCCCTTGCTGTGGTGCAACCAGTCCTGATGTTGTAGGAGAAGCCCAGGTTTCATCCCAGTGCTGGATCCCACGACTGGTGCTTTCCAGCATTTCATTTTTTCCACAGTGTGTAATAGCCGCTCACTCGCCCCCGCAGCTGAGCCCAGTGCTGGCCGAGGGGGGGGTCCCTCTGGGGGCTGGCGGGACAGTGGGTAATGCTGGCAAGAACCAAGCCCGGGGCTCCTCCTGGCGGCCCCGGGACCGGCATCTCCTAACGGGGATGGAACACCTCCGATCTACGCTGCCTGGGAAGGGTTAAGCCCCAGTCAGCTAGTCCAGGGCGGAAGGGAGGGACGTGGGGAGCAGCAGACGGTAAATTTAGATCCCCGGAGCATCCTGACATGGCGTGAGTGCTGGGTGATGGAAACTGTTCCTCCTCGAGTTGCCTCCCACTCACAGAGAGAATGTGTGGCAGCATGGCTGCTCCATGGGTGGTGGCCCTGCCTGCCGGCCGCAGGCCTGTAAGGCACATGGGCCGGGATACGAAAGACTCATCTGGGCTTGTGCACTATGAGGCTGCTGTCCAGGATGTGCAGGAAAAATACATAAAGGCCATGCCCAGTGCAGTCACTTGTACTGCCATTCTGTTTCTTCTTGCAGCCCATGTCCAGTACCGTCCAACATCTCCAAGAAGGCACCATGGAGGTGTCGGGGAGGACCCCCACCAGCCCAACCCACAGAGTCCAGACTATCATCCAGGTGAGCACACAGGATCACAGGATCTCTGCTTTGTGGGTACAGGGGAATCTGGTTAGGAGTCCTCCTCTGCAGCCAGCCCTACCACCAGCACTGGCGCTGCCCTCCAGCCTCTCCTCAGTCTCAGCCAATCCTATTTACGGGATCCTCAGCAAAGCCCATTGAGCTAAGCGGCTGGCGGCTCGGATCCTCTTAGATGCAGCCCAAGCCCCACGGATCTCCAGCTCCTGGGGCAGCTTGTCTCTGCTTCTCAGGATAGGTAGCACAGGCACATGAGCCCTCCTCTCCTGCTCATTTTGCTGGACAGTCCTGCTGCCATGTAGCTGTGCCTGGGCATTGACCCTGGCTATGTGGCTATTTTGGAGCAGCTCAGCCAGGTGGGCAATGCAGGGGAGTGGGCTGCAGCTGCAGGAGCTGTGAGCATCCCTCCCTCTTCTACAGAACAGCCCCCTGGACCTGATTGACATGGGCAAGGGGCTCAAAGTCCAGACGGAGAAGCCACATTTGGTGAGCCTGGGCAGCGGTCGGCTCAGCACTGCCATCACACTCCTGCCCCTGGAGGAAGGTGAGTGCCAAGGGGTCTCCATGGGTACGCTGGTGACAGAGACACTGAGATGCCCTCTCTGCTGGCAGGGAGGACCACCATTGGCACGGCTGCGACAGACATCATCCTGCAGGGCCCCGGGCTGGTGCCCCAGCACTGCTACATTGAGAATGTGCGAGGGATGCTCACCCTGCACCCCTGTGGCAACGCCTGTGCCATCGACGGCGTGCCACTCCAGCAGCCCACGCACCTCACCCAAGGTAGGAACAGGCTGTGCTTCACTGGCGCCTTTGCCTGTGGAATTGTGCTGTTGAGTATTTGGGTGTTTGAGGAGCCATGCAGTAACTGCATATCCTAGCTGGCATACTCCTGGCCTCTGTGCTCTGCGGTGGAAACCTGCCAGGTCCTGGCACAGTTTGAGAGCTGGCTTTGCTGCTGGTATCAAGTGAGGTGGGAAGGGAGAGACCCGGGGAGGCCTTGAAGAACAGCGGAGATGCTGAGCCAACTTTGGGAAGGGAGATGATAGAGGAAAACACCTTGGGTGTCCTCCCGACGGATGGCTGCCGGGACATTGCTGGTCTGCCTGCGTGGCCACAGGGCTCGGACCCGGCCGGCCCCCCGATGGCCGCTCCCAGGGAGCGTGGACAAAGCCTCAGGCCCTTCCCACGCGATCCCCGCCCCGCCAGAGCTCGCGTCTCGCTTCCCGGGGAGGACCCTCGGGCGGGGCGGGTGAGGCCCGGCCCCCGCCCCTCCCGGGGGCGGTGCGGCG